CACACCCACGACACCGAAAATGTGACCCGCGCCACGCACGCCACTATGGCCAGTGGTGACACTGTCACAAAGAACTGAGGACTCCATGTCCCAGGCCTGTGCTGAGCATGTTACACGCGTGACCTCCCTCCAGGCTCCCGTCCACCCTGTCGCTGTGCAGAGACACAGTCCACCACACCAGCCGACAGCCACAAACCACTTCACACAGCGCCTGGCCCACAGTGCTCACTCGCCAGCGTGGGGTCGGGGAGGCATTCAATAAGCACCCTCCGAGAGGGAGGAGGAGCCTGAGAACGGCAGGATTAGTGCCAGTGTAGACAGGGAGGTCAGGGAAGGCCTCCCAGAGGAGGTGACACCTGCTGCGAGTGAAGTGAGGAGCTGAACCAAGAGGTCATTGCCAGGGCTGGCCCCCACAGCAGCCCCCTACACTCACCCATGCACGGCACAGGACGGCCACATTCAGACAGAAAGACTGCACAGGCAGACACACACTCCCTTCCACCCTCCGACCCCTTTACAGCCCGACCCAGGGATCCCCCACAGCACCCAGCCCGCTGGTCTCCACAGCAGGGCCACCTGCCAACACCTGGCTCCATCTCTCCTGGCCAGACCCCTCTGCACAGGGAACAGAGCCGGGGAGCCTAGTGGAAGGGGAAGAGGGCTGGGGAGGACTGGTGTGGGAAGAGGGGTTGCTGAAGTGCAGGGTCAAGGGCAAGGGGGACAGTGGGGAGGAAGGGCAGGGAGGGTGCAGAGGTGCACAGCGCGACCCAGGGTGCTCCCCATCCGTGGTGATCAGTGGCGCGGCCACCAGCCCCTTACCTGGAGCCCCCATGCTGGAGTGAACCATGCTGCCCGCCCTGCCAGGGCTGGGGGAACAACTGTACCATCTCTCCGCCCTCTCTGGGGGCTGAGCCCTCCCTGCCGGAAGTCACCCAGGGAGGAAACCACAGGGCTGGTCCACCCCCTTAGGAAGGGAAAATACCCTGGCCCAGCAGCCCAGCCCACCCCAACTCGGGGAGCATGTTGGGGGCGGGTGGGGGCTAATGGAGCAGAGGCCAAGCAGGTAGGAAGAACTGGCCCTGCAGCCGTCACCCCAGGATGTGCAAGCAACACGTGCCTTCCTGCCGCCCCCATGGCGCAAACAAACCCGGAGCAGGGCCTATGGGTCTGCGAGAGAAGGGCCCATACCAACCTCGACAACTAAACACCAGAAGGCATCTTAGTGCCGGGAGGGCTCCCCCACTGCCCAGCCCTGCACCTCACACATGACAGGTGTCGTCTGGAGAGGCAAATGTGGTTCCTTGCCCCATTTCACAAACGGAAAGACTGAGGAGCAGAGAGGTGAGTGGTGGCTCACCAAGAGCGCAGAGTCAAGAGTCATTGAAGCAAAAAACACCGCGCGCTGGGGCACCTGTCCGCAGGTGAGGCATGGGGGCCACCCCTGGGAGGATGCAGTGCCCGTCGGCAAAGGCAGTATGGGCGGCGGGTCGGGGCTTCGGCCTGGGGCTGTAAGAAATCTATCAGGGAGTAAACGCGGGCGCGGCCGAGGTGGCTCCGGTGGTGGGGAGCCTGGTCGAGCCCCTCCCTCCGCTCCCCTCCCCACCCCTCCCCGGCCCTCCGCCCCCGCGCGCACACCTGCGAGGGTCACACAAAGGCGCAGGACTCCCGGCGCACCGCCGTGCAGACAAAGGCGCGGCCCAGCCTGCTGCCCTCTTCTTCCTCTGGGCGCCCACGGTCCAGGGTTGCGATGCTGCCTGGCGTCTCCATATAGGCCGTTGCCCACCCGGGACCCCACAGGACACACTGCCCCCCCTCACGCTGGCGGTACCCCCAAACCACACAGGCACGGATGCCTGGACTCACTCAACCACACACACTAGACTCAAATATTTCTACACATGGGCCCCAGCACTTGACACACAAGTGCACGCAGACTCACAGGAACACGTTCCTGTGTGCACAGGGCCGACAGACTCTCCCCACTGAGGGTGGTCACTCTCCTACACAGAAGCCCCCCTACTCCCTCCCCTGCCCCTGGACACCAGGGCACATCTGTACATAGATGCCCCAGACATGGCTCATAGCCACGGGTACCCCCCCACCCACACATGCACGCACCCACACACATGCACACTCCCTAAGGACATAACATAGGCAGATCCGCCCTGGACCTGCACACGGGCCCTGTGGACCCAGACACGCCCCCGCAGGCAGGCAGACCCTCAGCTGTGACATCAGTTCTCAGGTCTGCACACTACGAGGACAGTGTAGTGTCCAAGCGTCTACACTCCACAACAGCCATACTGGAAAGGCCAGAGGAGATCCACAGACAGGAACTGGCTTCAGGATTCCTACTCACAAGGAATCCCTGTCTCGAAGCTGCACCTGCCCAGTAAGCTGTTTCCATTTAGAATTTCCATCCGGGGGTTTGGGAATAGGGGACACGGGACGTTGTGGGGGCAGAACCCCACCAGCCACCCTCCTGCTCTGGCCCGGACATACTCAACAGCCATGCTTTTGACATGACCCCCTGCCAGCCCCTGAAGGCAAGCCAGGAGGGAAGGACCACCCACTTCCAGAGCTGCCTCCTGGGTCTCTGAGTCCAGGAGCTGGGAAGGCCTGTGTGCTCCTGGAAAGGGTGAAATCGCCCCACCCTCTCACCTCCCACGCTGCCTCCATTCTGAGTCCCTGGGCCTGGTGAGGTCTATAAGGAGCTGGGGCTGAGAGAGGATGGAGGGGCAGAGTTTGGGGCATGCTGGGTGGGCAGAGCCTGCCAGTGGGAATGAAGAGGCCCAGGCAGGGGGAGACAGTGGCCTCGTTGCCAGAGAAGAGGCCTAAAACCATGCGGAACAAGGTGGGTAGGGCATGGGAGCTGGGGAGCAGTGGGGGCCACTCGAGGTGCAGGGAGCCCGGGAGGGAGGCGGCACAGGGGAGGCCAGGCTGGGCTCAGGGCTGAGCGGTAATTAAAGGAGACGTAGGGGGCTCCCCAGGGCCAGCGGGGCTGGTAACTGACACGCGGGCCCCATTGCTCCGCTCATATTTCTCACCGGATCGATACGTTTGACTCCCGACAAGACAATAATCGCTTGTACGCGGCCGGCGAGTCGATCAAATACATTATTAGAGCGAGGTCCCCCGGGGGCCCGGCGGGGAGTGGTGGGGGGGAGCAGTCGGCCCACCGGGGACAGCAGAGCGAGGTTCTTCACCCCTCCGGGCCCCCCAGCCGTGGCTTCTTCCTCTCAGTCACCCCTGGGGACCCTCCCTGTGGCTCAGTTCCACAGCCTCTCTCTGGATGCCTGCTGTCTTGGGCAACCAACTCCACTCAGCCCCCAGCCTCATGCCTGCTCTGCCTGAGGACTCGAGGGGCCTAGCCCCCTAGGTGCGTGCCCTCGTCTGCAGGGCTGGAGCTCGCAGGAGCTCAGAGAGGCCTCTCAACCTTCTAGCTCGGCAGGAGATAGGAGATGGAGTCGCAGGCCACAGTGAGCCAGCGGCAGGGCCAGAAGATAAGCTTGGGCCCAGGAGCCACTGACACTGGTCTGCCTCTGCCAAGCCTCCTTTAGCCTCTAAGCACATTGGCCTGTGCAGAACCTAGGCCAGGGACAGCCTCGAGGGCTTCAGGGAAAGTTGGCTTAGAGAGCCAGGCAGGCAGGAAATGATGACGGTGGCAAACAGACAGAAGGATGTCCTGGTGGAGGACAGGGCCCGTCGGAGGGCTGGGCGGTTCTCTGTGGGCTTCGTATACCCTCAAGCCATGCCCAGCCTCAGCCCTGGCCACTGCTTGTCCACCTCTCGCCCATTTTCTTGGCTTCGGGCTCAAGCATGTTTCCTGTTTACACGCCTGCCTCACCTGCTTCAGGAGCCCTCAAGAGGAGCCCTCTGGGGTCGGCAGGTGGTGTGGTGGTTAAGGACACTGGACTCCCACATGGCCAACTGCAGTTCGAGTCCCAGGCCTGGTGGCTTGCTTTCTCATTTTCTCTCTCTCTCTCCTTTGCTCTCACTCTGACCCTCTCTGATCAAATTATAAATAAATAAATACATAAATAAATAAAATTTTTTTTGAGAGGTTTTCACTATAGGACGCGTGCGTTCGCCAGAAAGATAGAGACAGAGAGACAGAAAGTGAGACATCACCCCCCGGGGGGATGGCCACGCCGCAATCCCTTCTCCTCCATTCTCCTCTCGGGATCTTGGGCACGCACACACACGTGCCCGGCGTGAGTTTAAGCCACTGGGTCCGGGACTCGAACCGCAGTCAACTACATGAGAGTCCAGCAATGTAGCCATTACACCATCTGCTGGTCCCTAAAATAATTTTTTTGTTTTTAAAAAAAGAAGTGCCCTCCAGTACACAAAGTCGAAGTCAAGTTCTGCCTGGGAGCATGTGGGGGCTTACGGTACTCCTTCCTCCTCGGTGTCAGCGCCACCAGCACTGCCCGCTCTGGGCTCTTCGAACCAACACGTTATTTCCCAATCTTTACTACGGTCTGAATGAGTTATCACCCCTATTTTACTGATGACCTGAAGCTCTGAGAGGTGACGTCACCTGTCTCAAGTCACACAGCCTGAGCGTGCTGGAGCCAGAATTCAAACCCAGATCTGCCTTGCCCGCTGCTCGCTCTCTCTACTCTGCCGTCGGCCTCCTTAGGGCTTAGTCCATCCTCCAGCGCACAGTCCTCTCTCCGACAGGAACACCAGAGGCCCCCAGGGCCCACAGCCCAGCTCCGACAGCCCAGAATTGGTTTATGACTGCATGTCTTCCTTTATTTATCTTTTAATAATTTGCTACAGGGTGCGTGCACTTGCTGAGGGGGTGGGAGTGAGAAAGCACCCCCTGGGGGATGGCTATGCCACAGTCCTTTCTCCTCTCGTGATCTTGGGGATGCTCGCACACGTGCCAATGTATTTTTTCAAGCCATCACGTCTGGGACTTGAAATAGCATAGTCGGCCATGTAGGGTCCAGCCCTCTTAACAACCATGCCACCTGGTTTGCCCTGTATTTATTTTGCTTTTTATTTGCTTGTTTGTTTTAGGTTTTTTTTTTTCCATAGGGTGTGTGCACTCACTAGAGAGAGAGAGAGAGAGAGAGGCACAGAGAGATAGAAAATGAGAAATCACCCCACAGTGGGGACGGCCACACCACAATCCCTTCTCCATTCTCCTCCTGGAATTTGAGGCACACGTGTGCACACACCTGGTGTGACTTTTCAAGCCACCAGCTCCGAGACTTGAGCTGTGTCAGCCATGTGGGAGTCCAGCACCTTAACAACTATGCCACCTGCTGATCTCACCAAATATTTCTTTCTTTCTTTTCTTTTTTTTTTTTGTATGTACAGATTTTTGCTACAGGTCGCATGCACTTGCCAGAGAAACAGAGAGAGGAAAAAGTGAGAAATCACCACCCAGGGATGACCACACTGCAATCCCTTCTCTTCCATTCTCTTCTCAGGATTTTTGGGCACACATGCACACATACCCAGTGTGAGTTTTAAGTCACCAGGTCCAAGACTTGAACCGCCATCAACTACATGGGAGTCCAGTGACGTGGGCCCAAGTCAGTCCCACCACTATATATTTCTTGATGTTCAGCAAAGTGCTGGATTCCTGATCCCGTCAGCTCTCTACTGAATGTTGGACACCACCACATCTGGCTTTTCAGGCTGGGCCAGGAATCGAACCCAGACCTCCCATGTGACCTTAGTCTGCCGAGCAGCAGCTCCGGTGCACACAGGACTATTGCAGAAACAGTTTTAAAAGCCATGAAATAAATATGTGACTCCAAGTTGGAACAAATGCTTTGAAGAGGAGGAGCAGCCGGCGCCAGATGGAGGGTGGCATGCTACAGAAAAGGGTCCCGAGGAGATGGCACTTCCACAGCAACTCGACAAGCGGGCATGAGGTAAGGGAAGTGGGGAAGG